TCGTGAAAGAGCGTACGACATCGATGGACGACATGGGTGGGGGGTTGTACACATCGTATACACGAGCAATTCTTAGTACAAGAGTGACCAAGCACACTGATAAAGATAAGAGTTAGAAGAAGGAGTTGAAAGATACATTTACGTATAGAGAAAAAGAAAAAAAAAAAAAAGAAAAAAAACGGATGAAGATATAGAAACGGGCACATATAGAGACACACTACAAACGTGACACAAACGTGGTTAGCTAGTGCGCTGGTGAGATGATCGGTGGAACATCGACATAGATTGATTTTCTTTTCTTTTCTTCTGAAGTTTCACGTTCATTTATACGGGTATACTCACGAGGAATGTGTTTTTCTTCGACACCTTGTGTTTTGGCACAGATCGCTCGATCCAAGAGGAACCTTTCCCTTTTTCTTTCAACATGACAGCAATCTTGCGACTCTAGTTTCACTCTCATATTCCTCTATATCTCGCGTGACAAACTGGATGTTCCATGTCCGATGATAAATGATAAAATGTTCAATGTTTCTGTTACAATGTGCGAACAATTCTGCACTTCTATTGAAGATCGTGAAACGAACGAAACGAAGAAGGGAACTCGTTCCTCTTCGAACACATGTATCTACATATGTATCCTTTGTTTGAAAATTTCGTTGGTGGTCGCAACTAGCATGAACATCTCGTCAAACATTTCGTTTCGATGGCTAATCGACCGAGATGTGTGTGTATGTGTGTGTGTGTGTGTGTGTACAGAACAATTTCGAATCAGCGTGCACCGTGAGGGCTCTCTTTTTCAGCGATCGAGGACTCGCTGCACGAGTCAGGTATCTCACGGCTCAATTTTACGAATGTAAATCTTTTTTAACACTGAAACTACCGAAGATTGTACTAAAAAAAAAGGTGTAAAAAAATCCTCTCGAAATTACAAATTACAAAGGGACGAACATTTTAACAGCGAAGAAAGTGAGATTTTCATTTCCAGACCGAAGGGGGCAAGTCTCCAGAAAAACAGAAAAAAATATACGAATATCGACGAGTGTCATCAAGAAAAAAGAAAAAAAGTGGATAAAATTAATTTGATCGAAAATCCTTCTCACACAATCCCTCAAGATGAAAAGATCTTCGATAGTCTCGGTATCAAAACGAAACCAATTAGCTGCTATAAATCGTGTTCCACGTTCTGTACGGTTTGTTACCGGCAGAGTTAGCGGCGTTAACGACGACCAACGATCGTACTAACCTTTCGGTGGCTGCATCCCCAGCTTTTTCATGCCCTCGCGGACCTCTTCGAGGTCCGTGTCAGTGACCCTCATGCTATCGGACACGAATTCGTGGCCCGGTGAATCGGCCAACGTGTTGTTATTTTCGGCCATCACGGTTCCGCTGCTTTCCTGGCCGGTGGTCACTTGAACTGTTCGCAAGACAACACTCACGGCTAGAAGGGCCGGGGGGGAGGAGGGGGGGGGCAGGGCGGGGGGCTCTAAAAAGCTTCTAAAGGCTCTATCAGGTTATAACAATAATGTGTTATAATAATTCGCTAATTTCCTAATCGATCGGACAGACTCGCTAATTTCGTTGCAGTCGTGCTGTATGCGTGTCATTTATCGATTCTCACTTGCAGAAGTTGCTTAGTTAGAGAGTTTGAGATCTAACTCTCTAGCCTCTCTCTAGAAATTGAAACCGGGAAGTTTGCCCGCCGTTTCAACCTTGCTACGGTCTTTGAATTTTCGCGCTGCGGTATCGTCGCCGGCGGAGTTGCGAGAGTTTTGCGGAGGAGGATAGTTTACTATAGTATAAAATTTATTAACGCTCGAAGTTACACACGCATATGGCTTTCGAACAGAAGCACTATCTTTACGAGCCAGTATTCTTTCGTTCAAATGTAGACTTTATAGTTTTGCAGTTACACCGGATCACGAATATAGCTGAAATATATTGGTAAATTGTTCGAATATTTTCTTCTTGCAGTCATTGTGCAAGAAGGAACATTGAAATTAATAAACACCGTTTATTTAAAAAAAAAAAGGCATAGTTCAATAACCATGCGGTTTGCCGACCGAAGAAATTCTGGCTTCCGACAGAAATTAAAATCGAAACGCGGTAATAGCAATTCCTTTAAATTTGAAAGACTTCTCGGTTAATAAGAACTCGAGAAGACCGCAGCAGAGTTAAAACGAAAGGCAAAGGGGGGAGGGGGGTTTGGGGAGAGAAGAAGCTTCATAAACAGGGAATCTGCACAAATATCAAACTCAATCAAAGACAATGAATTCTCGTTTACGGGATCATCGAGTTTCAAGCGCGACGTTGAACCAAGGCGCCAGGGCATTAACATCCTCCTCGCAGCGATTCGACTTTGAATAAACGGAAGTCGTTGCCGCCGCCGTTGGCCCCGGATCGAAATTCTCATTTCGCGAAGGAGAAGGAAACCCGGGCATATGGAAACGGAAGGCAAGAACGAAGGCACTCCTTTGCAGATAGCTTCGAATTCTCATTCACGGCGGCGATCGTTCCTCAGGATCAGGCAGTATTTCACCGAAATCGTGCGCCTCCTCCTGTTTCGTTTCATCCGGCACGTTCGTCTCCCGATGAAACTCTGGATGAAATTTCATTGTTTTGCTCGGATTTCACCGCCTGATCCCGCAATTTACGTACTCGACACGGGGACAAACGCGTTTTCGAAACGCCTCTTTTCTCTCTCTCTTTTTTTTTTCTTTTTTTTCATCAACGCGTTCGATTTTTCGCGCGGATAGAGCTCTGCCCGGTTGATATTTTCGGTGGGAGCATCGTCGTTTCACGGCGAATTAACTCGAATTAGTGCCGCGTTGATGCCGCGAGATGGATGGCCCGCTAATGATATAGATTTTTCATCATTGCGCAGATTGTGGAAACCTTTTATCGTTTAATTGACGATTTTCAGCGTCCATTGTTTGCGGTATCGTATGTACGTTTCTGTATTTCCTTTTCCTTCCAATTTTCTTCCTCTCGAATAAACCTACGAGTTTCCATAAATTTCCACGTACCGATATATCGAATCGTATTCATTTTCCAATTAATTTTATTCATTTCAATTAATTAGATTTGTCCGCGTCAAGAGCACTAATTGAATATTCAACACGTAAGTTAGATCTACTAATGAATATTGCATCATCATTGCTACAGTAATATCTCCGCGAATTAATTTTTACTATTTTCTCATCATCCGTGTCAAAGAACTTTCCCCAGTGTTTAAATAAATAAATCGAGTAAATTGAATTCGATTTAACGTACAATAAAAAATTCCACAAGCATAGTATAATAATACTTTACGATCGAATATTTCATGAAAATTTTCCGAGATCCACAGGCGGGAACGAAATTTCCTCGCGGTTTGAATCCCTCTTATCAGGGATCAGCGCGTAACTCGTTGATGAACAGATAAGTCTATACCAGATTTGGGCGAAACGTAATCTGATTAATGATTAACGTGGAATCAGTATGTTAATCACGATTACTGGCTATCAAGTCGCGTCGCCAATAAACAAGGGAAGCGATTAAAATCATTGTAAAGGTTATAATTAATTTAATCACTGATGAATGAGGGAACAAGGCAAGCAATTAAAATCATTGTGATAAAAGGTTGTAATCGATCGAATAATCGTTAATCATAAATTGATCGCAATTTTGATTGCATCAGCGGTTCACTACTAACGGGAGTCAACAACGCCGCGTATATTTTGCAGAAACTACATCGTTAACCCTACAAAATTTCATCAGAATTCGTTCCAAATATATTCAAAGAGATTTCCCATCCCTCAAATATATACAGAATTATAAATTTTAACAAATTGAATTGTAAGGAGAGACAACGCTTTACACTGATCGTGATAAGATGCTAAAAATTATATTGTTATTCATTTCAATTATACGATATTTATAAATCATAAAAATTATTGACCGATCTGACCGTATCTGAGGTTACAAAATTGAATTCACTGCTGATTTATATCTTAACTTATTTCACGACCGATCGAACAACGATCACGATCACCACGATCGTATTTAGTAATTGATTACTGCCCAAGTCTGGTCTGTAAGACGCGTGAAACTTCGGTAAACGTGGCGTGCGGTAGCGACTCGATTTCCGAAACGCGTCACGATTCGTAGGATGAGGGGGGGGGGAGGGGGAGGGGATGAACGATACACGCGAGCGACACCCTGATCGTTCTCGATAGTTTCGATCGTGGAGGATGTCATTTGCCGGGGCGCGGTGGTTCGCCGCGAGACGTGTGTCGGGCGAGCAGAAATCTTTCCGGAAATTGCCGTGCTGGTCTTGCAGAGCAACGTTGAGGGAGGAGGGCTGGGGCTCGTGTACTACCTCAGGTGAAGCGGCTCGAAATTGCGGTGCAAACTATCATAAGGGCGGGAAGAAGATAAAACGGACGTGCACACACACACACACAGACAGACAGACACACACGCACACACATACACACACACACACCGAGGAAAGAAATGAAAAAAAGTGGTGTGTGCACGTTTCCATACGATGGATTAACGATCGACCCTTTCTTTTTTTTTTTTTTTTTTTTTTTTGTAAAGTAACGTCGATGGCTGGTATCTCGAATTGCAATACTTGCTTGCTTCTCTCTTTTTTTTTTTCACTTTGTCTCGCCTATTTCTCCTTTCTTTTTGCAATCGTTCCGACGCGCTAAAGTTCAATTGAAAAAGCGCGATTGTGCGTCGCATAGCGTTTTTTAAAGCGTTTGTCGTTTAATCTGATCTGTATATATGAAAAAAAAGAGAGAAAGAGAGAAAATAAGCCTCGAGCCCTGGTACTGTTTCGTATCGATCTCGGGGGATAAAAATTTGATTAGCTAATCCCAGCTGCGCGAAATTTATATCTCTAAACCCGGCTGTGTTTGAAACACGAATTTCGTTTAACTCGCTGGCGAGATAAAGTTTCTTGCCATTCAGCCATTCAGCCAAACGACGCAACGTTTCAACTATTTTTCCTCACTCTCCAGCGACAATTTTAGATTAATTAAGGTTAACGAGATGTTTTTTCGAGAGGTTTTCGAGTTACCAGCCACTGAGTGTTTCGTGTTTCGTTTCTTTCTTTTTTTCTTTTTCCACCTGATCAGCGAAAATATCTTCGTTGCGTGAATGAAATTATGCGAGAACGTCAACTTCGAACGAACTTGATGAATTTCAAACTTCGACTTACCTTTATATCTCACCCTTGGAATCGTCTCAATAAAATCGTCCGATCGTCCCGGCAGAATATCGTAGAAACACTACCAACTACTTGGATGTGATCATTTAATGATGATCGTTTTTTCGTGAAAGCAACGCAGATACTTTAAATGATCGGGGAACGTGTGACACGATGCACAGTCGAAACACTTTTTAACTGAAAGGGTCGAGCGAAGTACACGATGACGATGACGATGACGATGACGATGATGATGATGATGATAATGTCACAAGACAAAATCGTGTTTGACCTTTGAACGCACAAATTTCTTCTCGATCCATTAGAAGATGATCTTCGACAGTTTTCGTTACAGCGAATGCGTGTTTTTTGCTGAGTGAAAAGTACGGAGATCAA